TTTTTCAATTCTCCTACCCATCCCACTGCAGAGCGGGGAGGAGTGAGCATGCGGCTGTGTGGTGCTTAGCTGCTGGTTGGGGTCAGACTGCGGCACAGGAGGATTACCAGATTCCCTGGCTGGAGCGGCGCCTGTCTCAGTCTGCCGGAGCAGGGCTGCCTCGGCGAGCCAGAATATTTCAAAGTGAGCAAAGGAAGACCCAGCTCGCACCTTTGAAGAAGTTCATGGAAATGGTCATGCCAGTAGGCATTGAAAACGCAGAGGAGTGTGAGTGGGAAGGCTGGTGCTTATTGAGAAACGGTGCAAGGACTAAAGCCAGATCAAACCCCCAAGCATGGGGCAGTGCCAGAGCTGAGCTCCATGGGGGAACCACTGAGCTGTTGTTTACAAGCAGCGACATATCAAAAGTTTCCCTTGCACAATGGTGTTGGGAGGGAAGTTGTCAAAGGCAGGTGGGAGTAACTGCAGACAGAAACAAAGCTAGGTTTTAAAAGTTGCAGATGGTTTATAACTCCTGTTTCTGTGACTGAACTTCTAAGCGATGTCGGTTGCCTGAGGCCAGGTTGCAAAGGACTCGGTTGAAAGTAAGCTGAAGGTTGCTAATGGCTTAAGGGTGAAAAAAGGCAATGAATTGCATAGAAAAACAGTTAGCCTATTATAAAGTGACTTGTATGAGTGATGATTAATCAAGCATATGGAAAAAACTGTGTCAGTTTTTATTAGGAGTTGATACTGGAGGCAGTAAGGTGGCAAATATGGAGATATGATGACAAGAAAAGCCAAACCATTAGGGAGCAACATAATCATGGAGTTTGAGAACAACTGAGGAGAGAGAAACGTGAAGTATTGGAAGTAAGCTGAAATAAATTGGTGTGACGGCATTAACATCTGCTTGGACTAGACTTTCCATGAAATTTTTGCTTAAACATGTTATGGACTTAGAGGACCACCACAAGCCTCAAAGTGGTTAGAATAATATGAAGGCTCTATGGGAGAAAAAAGAGAAAGTTCCTGATAAGATATATTAAAGTATCCAGATAAGATATATTAACTTACCTGGAAGGATGTATTGGAAATTGTCAGTGTTACCTCCAAACTGTGAATGATGGTGAAGCAGAACTTGAAAGCAGAGAAGTTCTGGTGATTAATCAATGTGTTTGCCACAAAGCGAGGAACCTGATCAATCAAGTGACTGTGGCCCTTAGCTCTCCACACATCAATGGCTGCTTGTGTAGGTGGTTGGATTTGCAGCAAAAGACCCAGTACCCTTCCAGATAGGGCAGGTGTCTCAACTGGAAATGGCTCCTGTAGACATGGATGAATTAAAATTAAAAAAACTGCCTGTGGAGCAGGAGAAAGCTACCGGAGAGCAGCCACTGAGGGAAACTCTTGGCTTTCTCTCATGATCACCTGCTTTTAAAGCAGAAAAGATTCTTTATCTGCAGTTGCTCTCAAGGGAAAGTTTAGAGAGAGGTTAATGTTTCCAAACATCTGTTGAAAACTGAGAGAGAGGAAGAGGGTTAGTATAAGCATTGGATTTGGCTGTTTCTGGCCATTTAGCCAAAGGACCTGAATTGCCTGGTGGCAGCTCTGCAACCTGACCACTTGCTTCTGTGGGTTTTGTCATTCCTCACTTCCATACACTTGCGTGGGGCCGGCTGTTAATGGTAGCGCACTGGCATATGCAAACCAAGCTGTTCTTTTAATATATTTGAACTGGATGTGAATAATTTTGATGTATATGAATAGATTACCTGGTATCACAGCACAAATATTTTGCTCTTTACCTTTTAGGCTTTATTTGTACAGGTGTAGTCTGAGTCTGCAATCTTTTGTCATCACTGTTTAGGTCTGTAAAGAAATCTTAATAACGTATGGCACAATATGTTTTCTGAAACTGAGTAAAATACTACAGTTCCATAAATTGAGGAAAGTCTTATATGTGCCTTTGTTTGGCATTATACAATTTCTAGGGGCTGGCTATTGGAACTTGTCTGTTTTCAGGCTTTTTTTTTTTTTTGCTTTAGTGCATAACTTTTAAATCAATTTTGATGAACATTGAAGGTAATTGCATCTGCTAAGATCCTCGGACACTCAAAAAAAGACTTACTGTAAATTTAAGAAGTTTTTAAAAAAATAATCATTAAATCAGAATTAAATTTATGTTGTTTTTATGTCTTCTTCTAATTCTGTGTGATCACATGCTGACTGTTTTGTCTTCCAGGCAGATTTTCTTGGTAATGTGTCATCTGTTTGTGTGTAAAGAAGTGTAAAATGACTAATTCTTTTTACTATTTACATTCATAAAGTAACAATTCTAGTTTTGTTCTTGAAGCAACTGTTAAAATCCCTTCCATGGAAACACTAAAATGAGACAATTAAATCATTGGTCCTAAGTATTTATGCATTAGCGATCTTATATACCTTAACGAACAAAACAAAATTACCTTGGCAAGATTGTCTTTTCTGTGAACTTAAAATTGCTTGCACCATTTTTATACCTGCCAAGGTTTGAAAGCTATAAAGGGAAATTTGTGGGGAGAGGAGTATATTTTTGTATATTTTTATGCATAAATATATACACATGTACATTAATGAATTTTTTTTGCTGATGAAAAGGAGGAGGAGTAAGGGTTTACATAGGAATTTCAGCTTATTGGTGCTGTTATTATCTGAGTGACACATCCTGGATTTCTCCACTGTGAAGATCGGCAATACTGTGCAAATATCTAAAAATCCAATTTGCAAGTCCTAGAAGGCATCTGGATTTCTCCAAGGTGGTGCATGTGGTGTGGAGGTACCTCTGCCCGAGGTGGGACAAGCAGCCATTTTGTTGGGCTGTATTTTGCTTGGCTGTTTGGGTGGGTGGAGGGGTTGTCTTGGTGCATCTCCTGGACTTGTGGTAAGTTAGTAGTTGAAGCTCCTGATATTAGAAGCACAGATATTGGGAAGAAACTCTGTTAGCAGGTGCTTGTGGTAGGCTCTGTGTTCGCAGGGACATGGGGAAGCTAGCAGGCTGAGGGGCTGGAGGAGCTGCGCCGATGTATGGCAGGACGAGAGGCTCGCAACAGCCTGCAAGATAGGTCTGCTCCTGTGAAGCTGAGGAAGCCTAGCTAGCCAGGGAATGGTATTGCAGAGGAAAATCAAGTTCCTGGACTTTGTTTTCTTTGCTGGGAAGGTGGAGTGGCTTGGTTCTGCTGGCTTGCCATCCTCTTCGCTGCAACTCTGCAATAATTCGCTCGATAAACACCAACACATTATATTCCAGAGAGGTAACATGTTTGTGAGGATACCTATTTGCCTGGGAAGTCTTTGCTTATGGGGAGCAGCAGGCCTGAAGATCTGAGAAGCACTGGCAGCCAAAGAGACAACCTGACACTGCTTCTGTGAGTCCAGTTGGAGGCCTGTAGCTAGTGGTGTTCTCCAGGGATCAGTACTGGGTCCGGTTTTGTTCAACATCTTCATCAATGACCTAGATGAAGGGTTGGAATGTACCCTCAGCAAGTTTGCTGATGATACAAAACTGGGAGGCGTGACTGATACACCAGGAGGCTGTGCTGCCATTCAGTGGGACCTGGACAGACTGGAGAGTTGGGTGGAGGGTAACCTCAAGAAATTTAACAGGGACAAGCATAGAGTTTTGCACCTGGGGAGGAACATGCACCAGTACAGGTTAGGAGTTGACCTGCTGGAAAGGAGCTCCATGGAGAAGGACCTTGGAGTCCTGGTAGACAGTAAGTTATCCATGGGCCAGCAATGTGCCCTGGTGGCCAAGAGGTCCAATGGTATCCTGGAGTGCATTAAGAAGAGTGTGACCAGCAGATCAAGAGAGGTTATCCTCCCCCTCTACTCTGCGCTGGTGAGGCCCCATCTGGAGTATTGTGTCCAGTTCTGGGCCCTCCAGTTCAAAAGAGACAGGGGACTTTTGGAGAGAGTCCAGTTGAGGGCTACGAGGATGATTAAGGGACTGGAACATCTCTCGTATGAGGAAAGGCTGAGAGACCTGGGGCTGTTTAGTCTGGAGAAGAGAAGGCTGAGAGGGGGCCTTGTCAATGTCTATAAATATCTGCAGGGTGGCTGTCAGGAGGATGGAGCCGGTCTCTTTTCAGCAGTGCCCAATGACAGGACGAGGGGCAATGGGCACAAACTGCAGCTCAGGAAGTTCCATCTCAACATGAGGAAAAACTTCTTCACTGTGAGGGTGACGGAGCACTGGAACAGGCTGCCCAGAGAGGTTGTGGAGTCTTCTTCTCTGGAGACCTTCAAAACCTGACTGGACGTGTTCCTGTGCAGCCTGCCCTGGGTGACCCTGCCTTGGCAGGGGGGGTGGACCAGATGATCTTCAGAGGTCCCTTCCAACCCCTACCATTCTGTGATTCTGTGTGTGTCCATGCTCCTAACTGCTGGCTGTCGGTGGTGGAGCTGGCTGGGCTCCTCACAGAGATCCTGCCGGCATTGCTTGCTTCTCTTTGCCCTCTGGCAGCTGATTTGGATTGTAGTGAAGTATTTTTCTGTTCCTGGAGAAACCCTCATTTACAAATACAGCTGTTAAGGAATGCAGTAAGTGGCTGTCAGAAGAGCTTTAATTTCTTGGTTGCCTTTTATTTGGATAAATTCTGACTTTTTTCCTGGAATTTTAGGAGGAGGGCTGCTAGGATTTCTTTTGCTTAGTTATGCAGCACAGATGTGTATACAATTAAATATATGTTGTATATACTGTGATTTCAGATATTCCAATTCAAATACCTTTTTGATTTAGCATTGAGAGGTAATGGATTGCTTTATCAAATGGGCAAGAATTGGGAAATTCTGTTGAGAAACTAACGGCTGTTTCAGAATTTATGAAGGGCAAAGAAATGGTATTCTCTGATTCAAAGAGCTAATTAGAAATAAATGCCTGTGGGTATTGGGTCATCATTGTTCCCCCCACATTTTAGGAGAATTAGAGGAAAATTTAATAATTGCTTTTAATTTTACAGGCAGCCAGCATCAAGCGTGAAATGACCTTCCCTGCATTTCAACAGGAGGATGTAAAAAGTGACATCAGTCAAAAACTGCCAGACCAACAGTTTCTCCTGTTCACCACAAAGGAGGAAGATTTAAAAACAGCAGAGACCAAAAAACCAAACAGAGCTCATGAGTATGAAAAGGAAAACACTCGTTCTGTTTGTCTTCTGGAACAGAAGCGCAAGGTTGTTTCTTCAAATATTGATGTGCCTCCAGCAAGGTAAGGAGAGCTGGGGTTTTTGTTGTTGTTTTAAGCTTTTTTTTTTTCTTTTTTTTTTTTTAAAGGTGTGTTGGAGGCAAATTTGAAAAGTGGTATTATGAACTGATAAGACTAATATTTGTGACCAAGCAGTCCAAAGTCAATCATAACACCAGTACTTGAGAGATCTGCTAGAAAATTGAAAACACTGGTAGCAAAAACTGAGACCATCTGCAGTGTAGGACTTTGGATTGCTTTTGCAATGTCTTTGCTTTTATAACATGCTGCAACTGAGGTACTCCCAAAAGAGGAAGAGATTGTTGATTCAGCTTCACCCCAATAAGTAATCTTCTAAATTAGACATAGAATCACCTGACTTGCTAGCAATTTTAAAAAAGTTCTTGTTTAATTATTTTTTTACTGTCACACCTGCAGCCACTTTATACTCAGGGGAATGTGCAATGACTTACTCTGCACAGTGAGGATGTAGTATCTTAAGTTCTGTTATATGCCTGTATAGGTATACAGCTGGGTCATAATGTAGTCCATGAAATTAATTAATAGAAAAAAGTGGTGAGAAGAGGCTAATGCAGGGAAATAAAATTGTACAAAACGGGGATTTTGGGATTGCTTTTTATTTAGTTATTCCTTGCAGATCTGTTGTGAATGCGCATAAATGTTTGTGTCTTCAGCATTCACGTCTGAGGCTCGATGTATATCACAGTGAGAAACTCAAGGTTTGTTTGTCCTTTTTTTTTCCCTTCATGATATTTAAGCGGAATAATAGTAAGAGAAGGAGAAACTGAGAATTACATACTGGCTAGTGATTTAAAGAGAAGGGTCTGAAAAATACAGAGTCTAGAACCATGAACTTTGGGGAAGGACTTCACTGCTTTGAGAGAGAAAGGGAATGACTCCTCTAGGGAATGCTGAACATTAGCATTACTGGATTTGTTTCTTTTATACTAAACAGACTCACTTGTATAAGTGGTGAAAAGCTGACAACAAATTGTGTATTCTGTGTTGCAAGATGACAAGTGCTTTTTCTTTTTGTTGTTTGTGATTTTGTGTTGGCATCAGTCTATCTGCAAAGATTTTTTTCTTAACCTGCCTGGTAAATTTACTTGCACGTAATATTCAATGAAATGTCTTCCGAGTTTATACTGCCACTTAAAAAATATATAGTCAAACTGGATGTTTTGTTGGTTTTTTGGATTGTTTGCTTTCTAGAAACCAACATAAACCAGCAGGTTCTGCCACATCATCCAGAACAGAATGACTGTCATTTGCCTCTGGCTCTCATAGATGACACTTGTGAAAACCACAAAGTTCATGAGCATTTTGACAGCATTTTTTTTTCCGCATATATATCTAGTAAAAAGCTATGCATTAAGACCTTGAAAATGTTAGGACACTTAACTTGAGATTTTCACCAGTAATCAACCCTGTAACGGCTGAGTGCCCTTCTCATTCATCCTGATGTGTATCAAAGCAAATAGGACCATCAGAAAATTCAGGTCAGCAGGGACGTCAGGAAGTCACTTAGTCCAACCTCCTGCTCAAATCATATGTTAGCATTTCCATTTTACAATTCAAGCAGCTAAGATCCAGGATTTAAGTGGCTTTTTGTGTTTCTTCATGCAGGTAATCCACTTGAAGTAGTTGAGCTCCCCTTTTCTGTAACTGCAAGATCATCCTTCCTTGGAGGGACAGATAATTTTTCCCCAGTGAGGTGGAAAAGAGGATAAATAAACATCTTTAATGACTTCTTAAGACTAATTGTGATACCAGTTGTGAGCACAGGATACTTATGATGATAGGAAATAAGTTCATTTGCAAAAATGTCTTCTAAAATTGTTGTTTGTTTCTGTATTTTGTTGCGAACAGATAAATGACCATATTATGTTGTTGCATGTTTTCAGACATGCAGGTTGAGCTGTTGCATTAGCAGCATTAGAGAATGAAATAGAATACAAAGATGGAGTCTAAATTCAATAGCATGATAAATGTCCTGGTCACTTTTGCTACAGTTTTGCAGACAAGCTTAAGTTTCACTTTTAATCTGGGGTGAATTATTGGTCCGTTTGTCCACAATGGACAGGAATAACACTAAAAACTTTGCTTGGAGATCTTCCCAAATATGTGTTGTTGTAATGAGGGGAATGCCTAGTCTCTCTTCCTCTTCACAGTTTGATCTCTAAGTCATATTCTCTGAGAAGTGAGAGTCCAGGCATTTGGTGTTCTCCTTTATAAGCCCCTTCCAGTCTTCTGTCTACGACCATGTTGATGGAGTTGCCTGTTCCCCAGAGGTGAATTCCTCCTCTCTTTGACTCTCGACTGTCCTCTTCTCTGATGAGAACATCCATCCACCTTCATAGATTTGTTGTATCCAGTTGTGGAAGGTCATCTTGAATTAATCAGATGATGTTTACAAAAGTGTGGGAGAAATAAGGGTTTTAATATGATCTTCGTTTCTTATTGCTACATACACCCTCTTTACAAAACACTTTCAGCTATCACTTTGAAGTAGAAAATGCTATGGAAATGAAGCTTGCTGTTTATTTTGTTTTAAAACCTTAGTGGAGCTGAGAAGGTTACCTGCTTCACTTCAGATGCCAAAGTAAAGGATAACATTAAATTTTGCAGTATGCCACTAAACCCAGGACAATATGTAAGTCATTTTGAGACAGAAGTTTATCGTACTGCAGAATCATTATTAACAAGGGTATATGAGTGCCTTCATGAGAGCTTTGAAAAAGTGTCTGCAAAAGAGCTGGTAACATGGATAACTATATTTCACTTTGGCCACAAAATGACCACAAATCCCATCCCATCCCATCCCATCCCATCCCATCCCATCTTACTGGTTTTTAAGGTTCTTAATGAATAAGGATAAAAATCTTTGTGAGGCACTGTATCCAAAATAACTAACAGTTTGGAAAATATGGGCATAATAAATGTTGCTTCTCAGGCATTCAGCCACAGGGCTTTCATTACTGCTTATAGACTCTGAAATTTTAGAAATGTGAAAATAAACTGAGTTCCTGGTGTTTTGAGTGATTGGTATTCAGGTGCGCTGAAGTTACAGTAGATGGAACTGTAGAGCAGGGACAGGCTGGTGGCTATCTCATATGCGCGTGCAGGAGAATGGAAAACTAATGGAAAACATGGACACTTTAAAGTTTTGATTTTCAATATCTGGATAGAAGGAGTAGATCCATACTGATTAGTAGCCCAACAGTTACATGCTTGCCTGGAGTGTGGAAGGTATGGATTCAGGTTCTTCTGTTGTTGCATCTGGAACAAGGACCTGAACTGGAGTCTCTGCTGTACAAAGGAGGTGTCTTAACCATCAAAGTCCTGGTGCTTCATAGGGCAGTTCTTTAAAGTAATAGTGTCAGGTTAAATGTAGCAGACCTGAAATAAATACTTTATTACATGCAGGATAATTTTAATACTGAAATTAAACAAAATTTTAAAATTGATTGTTTACATTTTTTATTTCATCTTGCATAAATAATGCAGACCTTTCTTTCTCTAAGTTATGTGCTGCATTGGAAGTGTCTCGGATTAAAACAGGAGAAGAACATGACTTTTTTTACTGACTTATGTTTTGGAATGCAAAACTGAAATGAGAGGTTAACAGCATTAAGTCTTTCAGTTTTGAGATTTTTTCATTTGGTCATTTTGAACGAAACTTACCTCATTTAAGTAGCTTTCCTACTTCTGAAGTTCAGATGAGCATAAATGAAACTGTTCAACTTGACTAGATTAATTATTTCATATAATAAGAAAATTTGAATTCCTTACTTTATAAGTTTATCAGTAGTTTCAGCACATTAAAGGACTGCTGTCTTGGAGAAAGGGGTCTGACCATTTGACTATAAACTGCAATTATCTCTGAGAATTGAGATGTTATCTATACAACAGAGGAGAATATGCTTTAGATTGACCTCCAGTTCAAACATGAGCAATCGAACACAGCCCAGATCTCCAGCATCTGAGCAATGAAAGGTCATTTTCTAAAAAGAGAGTGGTTTCATTGAGGGACTAATCACCTTGCCTTGTAGGCAGAAGGAAGCACAGGTCTATCAGTGTTTCAGGCAGGTGCATCTGCAGAGGTCAGATGCAATCAAAGATGATGTCCCCCATAGGCAGCAGCCTACAAGGCTGCTGTGAGTTTAACAGAGCCTTTTTGCTCATTTGTATGATCAGTTATGTCCCGGAATCCACATTTACTCCTAAAGCATGTCAACAAGAAAGGCAAAAAAAAGCCTGGGCTGCTGATATGGTGGGTGTGAGTCATGACGTGGGGACCCAAAGCAGGTCAGGCACGTGGGGAACAGCTTCTGTCTCTCGGAGGAGAAGGATGGAAGGGTAGGCAGTGGAGAGCAAGGGGTGAAGTTCCCTTTTTTTGAGTGAAATGTGAGAATAAATGTCTGGAAATGGTGATGGTATTAAAGGTCCTTTTATACAGAAGTGTTTTGACCAGCTGTATCTGGAAACCCTTCAAAACTTATATGCATTAGTGGCAGAAGTGGTGTCCTTTCAGAACTACCAGAAAGGAGTAACTAGAAACATCGAAAAAAGTTAGGAGAATTAAAGAAGGAACTAGGCAGACATTGTTCCTACCCCTCTGGTGGGTGGGAGTGTTTGAATAGTTTTGCCTTTGTTAACCTTCTGCTAGATGACCTCAAAATACAGTGAAATTTGTATTATCTCCTTGCCACATCATTTTCCTTTTCCCCAGTCCTCCTACCCTATCTTCTCTGAAAAAAAGACAGACATACAAACTTTCTAATTGCCTGACTTTTTCTACATTGTTTGTGCACTTAAAGGACATGCCACAGCTAAACCTCAGCTGCTTAAGCACTTCCTATAGCGTGAAAATAGCTATTGTGCAATAAAACCTTGAGTTCCTATGCTCTTCTGGTTCACTGCTATTAAGCAGTGACATTTGCCATGACAATAATATATTGGATTTTGCTATCTTCTGTTTCTTTTATATGCAAAAAAGTTTC